AGCCCAAGTCCAGAGGCTGTTTTCTAATGTAGAGAAAACCGAAAGAGAAATGGTTTGGCTTTTTTTTTTTAAATAGTGCTCTCTCTTCTAAATGAGCTTTATTAGCACTTAAGGGAGAAGATTGTTTATATTCTTACCTAAATAGCCTAGTAATAACCTAATTTCAGAGATATTTCAGTGTTAAATAAGCAAAAGTTAAGCATTATGCATATTAAATTTATGAAGTGTTTAGTCTCTTGTGTAATATTAACAAGAACTGATTTTTTTTTCTAATAATTTCCACCAATATACTTCCAGTTCACAGTATTTCAATACTAGGTGATGCAGCCCTTTGGGCAATAAACACCTGTTTTTCTGTTGTGTTTGTTGTCTACTTTGTGTCCTTGGTATGTTTCAGGGATGATGCTGTAGTAAAAAAAATTCAGGTAACTAGCAGATACCTTTTGGCATGACTTCCAGAATGAAAAGACTTAAAATCAAAAAAGTTGAGATATTCTGGATTGTGTCTGTTGAAATGAGAAGCTCACGGTGTGTCAGGATTCTGCTGTATATATTCAAACTTGAAGGATGTGCGCAGGGGTATACTTAAGTATGCAAAAAACCAATTTATCTCCTCTGTGGTAACTGTATGTTTAAGAAAATGAATATACACAGTTGCTGGTAGGATAAAAATAAGAATTAATTTTCAGTGATTAATGTTTAGGGTATTATGAATTTTGTATTATTTTTAAAATTATTTTTTTCCTTAATAGCTGTTTAAACTGACAGAGACATGAGGTTTGGGGAGGAGAGAGGAAAAAGGTTCTTAAATGACTTTTAAAAGAGACAGTCTTATTTAGGTTCAAAATTTTGATTCTGCTGTTCTGGCAGATGATCTGAGGGTTTACAATACCGTATCTGATATTGTAACATCCTGTGAGATGCAGCAGTGAAAAAAAAAAGTTTCATAAAAATGTTTTCAGGAAGGACTTAAAGAAAAGCACTTGAAGTGGGGTGTTGGTTGCTTTGTTTTGTTTTGGTTTTTTCCTCCTTAATAATATGTTAGATGAGTGGGGTTAGATGACTCTCATATTGGAGCATGGAAGCCATGCAAGCAGAGGGAGAAAACACAAAACTTGATGAAGAAGGTTCAGTGGGTTTGTGTTTAGCAGGTACTTGGACCTTGAAAGCTCTCTTCAGGTCCCACCTATGCTGCCTATCCTGAACTGTTTTGTTTTGTCTTCTGCAAGTTTAACTTACCTAAAAATTGCTGAAAGGACCGTTCTTTTTTTCTTAAAAGGGCTTTCTTGCTTGTCTTTTGCATTGGTATTTGTGTCTTTGCTGTCTTTCAGAAAGCCTCTTTTGCATAATTCTGGAATAAAATACTGCATTGCAATACTGAGCAAGTAAAGTCTTGAGTCTGTTAGATATTCCTGGCTATGTCATGCTATTTTGTCTTATTGATTACCTTTCTTCTTAATTTTATATATTTTTTTGAAATCTGCACAATATTATTTCTCTTACTCTGGCAAAGCCAGCTCTGCCTTGGCTGCCTGAGCTCCTCCACAGCTTGCATTCTGACTTCTGGAGGGGCTGCCTCTGCTACTGTTCTGCAGAATGGGAAGACAGCATCCCAGTGAAGAAGTTCTTTGTTCAGAGTGCCACTGGTGCCTTCTTGTACCTCTCATGTGTAAGACATCATCTTCCCCCCCCCCCCCAACTCCCCCCCCCCCCCCCAATCCTTTTGTACAATCCATCTATTTGTACTGAATCCAGAGTTTCATTGCCCTAATGAATGAGTATGTTGGCTATGGTATACTTCTCGGCTCAGCTGAAGGAAATCTTGCCATTGTGCAGGGAAAAAGGGAAAAGGAGCCACTGCTATATGCATGTAGTGTTTTCCAGACTGAGCAAGAACATCTTTTGGTCTTGCCATGCACTTGGCCTCTTTGTCTGTGGTGGCCCGAGGTAGGTGTTTCAGTTTTCACACGGCTGGGAGAGAACGCCTGTAGTTTGGTTACCTAGAAGGTTGCCAAGGTATGGCTGATTACTTTATTTGGTTAACTAGGGAGTATTGCCAGCCTCAAGAAATGACTTGTATGTCTTAATTTCCCTCTGGCAAAAGCTTTATACAATGTATTGAAGATCATTTGAGCATGAACTTTGTTTAACTAATAGTGAAAATAAATTCCACAGTTAGTTCTCCGTTAATAACGTTTAAATGTTGAATCAAAGGAGTGTTAGCTTGAATGACCTAACCGGTCCCACTTGGTTTAGTGTGATGAGGGAGGAGGACCAAGAAATCCAGATGGAAAGCACTGAAGCCAGGAGTGACTTCATCAGTTTATACCTTGAATTATGCCCAGAGGCGATAGTTGCCTCCATTACAAAGATGTTGGCATTATCATAAATTTCTGGAGGAGGAAAAAAAAACCCAAACCAAACCCAAACCCCATAACCTAACAACAGCCCACCCCTCCACCCCACCACCACTGGACCTCTGAGTTCAGGTTTCTGTAATTAGAATAGTTTACCAAACCCATGTTGTGCAATGTCTGAGCACACAACATGTGTACACTTTACTGCTAGTTCACTGTAAGTGTACAGTGTGAACTATTCTTTTAATATATTACAATTCCTAACTGTGTAACTATACACTTGCACTTCTGCAGTTAGGGTAGAGCTTACCGGTAAACCAACAGCAGAATTTTGAAAACCGAAAATGCTGCTGTTCTAATGCTCTTCTAAAATATGGTTTGAAATTAGAAATATTTTTCAAAATTACACATTTTGACAGAATGACATCCAAAGCAGGATGGGGACTGACTTAATGTTCTACCAGATGGCTGCTATCAACAGCACTTTTGGGATTGAATCTTTTCATGTCATAGGCATCATAATACTATAAACAACTAAATCCTGAGATTCAAATTTGAGTCTAACCTGAAAACAAGCACTTGGAAACCTTAAGGTATTAGTATGGCCGAAGAGTGTGTTCAGATGGCGATTCATCACACATAATACCAAGTTTTCTACTTTAGTCCATAGCAAAATCCCTTAAAGTATTAACTGCTCACAGTAAGCATGCAAAAGTATATATAACTAGCTTGCTTCTAGATGAAGTATGAGCTGTGCTGTATGTGTAGTTTGAGGTTTAAAAGGTAAAATGCCATTTTTATTCTGTCAGCCATGGGGTATTTTTCAATGAGCATGGAACCAATGCACCTTGGCATCACTCAGCAGTGAAAGGGACAAATCTTGATACCACCAAACCCAGCAGCTATGTTCTCATGATTAACAGAGTCTGAGTCTGTGTGCTGTACACCTTACTCAAGCAGATGTGACTGCCGAACTTTGTTACCATGTCTGAATGGCACCAGTAGCTTAGCAAACTTTAAGAGACTAAGAATTTATTGTTAATCATGATCTAATCTCTATAATGACCAATTTTTCTTTCTCTTTATTTGACATTCATGATGCTAGAAAACCTTTTCTTAAATTCAGAAATTTCTTAATTTCAGCAATTCTTAATTTCCTTTTTTGGGTGAAGGTTTGTAAGTCTTCCCTCTGTTTCCAAGGGCGGTGGAACAGCTGTAAGTCCTCAAATAAATAATGCTGAAATTACAAGAATTTTCATTGCTAACCTCACTGAGATGAGGCTTTTACCTGTGGCATGTGTGTTTATATACTGCACAAGTGTTTGATATCTAAGAATATTCTTTATTTGTAATGTTAGATATATGGCTTTATGTATTGCGTTCATGCTTTGTAAATGTTGCAGAAGTACTGAGTAGTTGTTGAGTCCATTCCTTAGAAAAGATCTTCTGTGATACATTATTCTGAAATATTTCAGATTTATAATTCCATAGATTAATATTTCATATAGTTCCTTTTTTCTTCTTTTCATATAATGCCTTTCTTCAGTTTGTCTTGTGCTGAAAGAAGACTTAGATTAAAAGTCTTGCCTTTAGGGCTTTCCTTCTGTGAAGCAGTTTGTTTATTGCTGGTGCAAGCTGCCTGTAAAGGATGTTCCTGTAGTTATGACCAACAACCATTTTGTATGTAACCTTGTCTTGCACAAATGACTTAGTCACAAGAGAGCGTAAGCTTATTTTTGAAAGTACAACAACCAAGAATGGGGATATTTGGTAACCGTTTTGTAATCTTTTTAGTTTCATAAGCCTATCTTAACCCTCTTTAAGACTTGGTCACAGGCTTCCTTTTGTATTTTAGACATATTTCACAGTTCAACAAATCTCTTAATACTCTCTTTGTAGTAATGAAAAAAGCTAGAAGAGTTAAGTGTTAGTTTGATGCAAATGGTTTCTGGTAACTTACGGAGCTACAATCATCTTAGTTGCCTCTAGATTCACTCCTTAACAGCACGCTTCAGATATAAATGACTTGTACTATTAGAGATCTCTCTTGTCACTGAGGAGCTGTAGAATGAACAAGTTAACCTTGCTGGTTACTATTCATAGAAAAACACTCAAAAGACTGAATCCAAAATTCAGAACAACAAGCCTGCACATTGCCAAACAGCTAGACTTATCTTTCCCGATAACTATATGGTTTTATATACTCAGTTTAACTGGTGATTTTTTTTTTTCTTTAAGGTTGCACTTCCACTTACTCTCCATTACTGTAATAGGAACCTAGTAAAACTGATGATTTTAGACTTTTAGAAATGTTTGCATGTTCTAGAATATTTATGCTTCTGTCCAGTAATTTTTAGAAACATTTTAATCTTATTCCAAGCTTTTGTACCTTTGATGAACCAAAATACTGTCCTAAGTCTATATGACAGATAATACTGATGTTGAAATTGTTGAGTTTGACAAAAGAAGTTTGGCTGATTTCCTGGGAGAAGGAGATCTCTGAAAGATCTTTTGTCAATAACAGAAATGAAAGCTGCAGAATTGGAGCTGGAACCACTTTATTCCATCTCTATACCGTGTGTTCATCTGTCTTTAGTATCAAAAACTGTTAATGCTTTTTTTTTTTCTCCCCCCACTGCCCAGGGAGGCAATAATGCAGGGCATACAGTTGTTGTGGATTCTGTGGAGTATGACTTTCATCTTCTGCCAAGTGGGATCATCAATCCAAAAGTCACTGCATTCATTGGTAAGTGGGACATCTCTAAAAAATAGACAATACTGTAGTTGCAGACTTCTGACATATTAAAATAACAAAATATGTCTGAGGACATACAGGATGAGGATTTTTCTTCCTCAAATTCTCATAGGCCTGAACTGCTCTACTATCTTCTTAATATTGTCTTAACTCGATTATGAAGTTTGGATTACGGAGGTTTCTTTTATTGTCTTGGATAGTTCGTCTCTGTTCTTATCTGTCCTATCAATGCAGACAGCTAGCTGCCCTGCATACCTTCATTCTCCCATTCCCTTTTATTTTTTCTACCAATTATTTCTTTTATTCTCAGAATTCTTCCTCTCTGTTTTAATCTTCAACCCTGTTAATTAACTACCAGTACCTTTTGAAACGTAGATCTTTCCTCCCTTTTCCATTGGATTGTGAAATGAATTCTGACTCCAAAAGACTTCTGAACTATATAGTTCTTACCAAGAAGTCCTCTCAGGAGAGTACATTAGAAGGTTTAGGGCAGTGGCAGTACTACGTGATGTCAGGATCTACGATCTGTTTGTTTCCCAAAAGGCAGTCAGATTGTCCTGTGTGTTGTCCCTACAAGCCTACTTATAACCCCTCCCTCTCTTGGCATCCTGTTTCCAATCCTACGTGGTGGGTTTCTTTTTTTTTTTTTTTTCCTTTGGATTGCTTGTATGACCAACCTACTTAGTAATGCTGTGTAGCCCTTAAAATTTCCTTCTGAAAATGAAGGTAAATATAAAACATGTCTACACAGCATTATAACCGTGCATGTGCTTGTGTGCTGCTATCACAAATCAGGTGAGTCTCTGAGTCACTAAAAGTTGTGACCTATCAACGCTTCCATCCTGCTTTTTTGATACCCGGAGCTGCTGTCCCTTACACAGTGTACTTCTCCAAATTAGGACCCTATTGCCATGCTCTTCCTATCACTTCTTCCCGCATATCTCATTGCTTTCAGCCTGTAGTCTTGCCTCTCAGCTTGGTACATGTGCCAAGAATAAGTGGTCGTTGACAGGTTTGCTAAACAGCATAGCAACTAAAGAGCCTCTGTCGCTAGTTACTTGATTCATAAACAGTACTTGCTGAATTCTTGGGTCCAGCTTATAGTGACTGTATACTTGCAGTCAGCAGTAACTCTTTACTTGGCAGGAATTGGTGGTTAATTGCTTCTTTTCTGCTGTTATATTGTGACTCGGTAGTAGGATAGTTTCGGATCAACTTGCCCTGCCTAATACTTTACAGAAATTGAGCCAATGGGTATGGAAATAGATTCCCTCTGATGAAGGGGAGATTGGGATGTTAACTGCTTCTAGTTTTGAGGGCCGTGGCAAGTGATACTACTTTTATCCTTTTTTGATATGTTACTGTATTATGTTTCTTTAAAAGGTTATTGCTTGAAAACAGTAAAAAAAGGATGCCCCTTTGCCGTGTTTTGTTTGGTGGACTCAGGGTTGAGTAGGAAAGACCCCATTCTTTAAAAATATAGTAGGCAGGAGAGAGCTTTTTACAGATCCTCTTGTCTGTATCTGCTATCTCTTGGTATTGTCTGCTCTGAAGTTTGTTGTCCTAGCTTCTTCCAGGTCTGCCTTGTGTTTAAAATCTCTTGGGGAAAAAAAATATCTGTATAGGATTCCACTGAAAGGGCTTATAGGTTCAAGAAAAAAAAAAAAGCACAAGGGCAAAATGATGGGAGTATTATACTAGATTATTACTATTGATTAGGACTGTGCCATGAAGGTTATAGCGAAGAAGTCTTAAATACTTTGTATTTTGGTGTTTAGAATGCTTGTATCTACATGAAATTAGGTGATATGCAAATAGTTTCAAATGGCAGGTCCCTTCATTCTTTAGCTAGGTAATGTTATACTGATAGCTTTGGATCTACTGATCTACTGAGTTTGATATGACCTGAAGATGGTTCAGTCTTGCTATATGGAAATGCTCCTTCTTAGCCACTCAGTGATGCTGATTAATTGTATGAGCTAGTAGTCTTTTTGTGAGCGCTGTGACAGCTGTAGGAAAGTGAGCTTGCTTTTGATAGATCTTTTTCCTCTGTTGTTTTTGCTAGTCTGTTAACAACCCCAACTCTATATACAGAATACTCTGTGTCTATTTACAGGAGAAGAGTGCCTGAGGGGATGCTAGTGTTTATAATGATGATAGAAATGTGCTAAGTTTTTAAAAAACAATAGGGTTATTAAAATGAAGTACAAAGAAGGGAGTTAATTTTAGTTATGAGGAAGAGGAAGTTGCATTCTGGACTGTCCCACGGTGCTCTTACTGTTTGTCCTCATCTAAATTGCAAGTTTGTTGAGTTTACTAAAAAGATTCAATGCATGTAGTTAGAAACGCATACTTTAGGTGTAAATCAGTCTTTTACAGACTAATTCCTAAGAATAAAAATGGCAACATCTTGAAAGTTTAAAAATGTAAATAAAGTACTCTGCATACAAAAGATGATGTGTCGTTGAATAGGTTGGAATATCTTTTCCCATGCTCAATTAATTAAATTTTGTGTAATGGTTTTCTTCAGGAAATGGCGTTGTAATTCATTTGCCAGGACTCTTTGAAGAAGCTGAAAAAAACTTAAAGAAAGGAAAAGGTGAGAAAATTTTAAGATACAACTCTGAAAATAGTTTGTGGGACCCTCCTCAGAAGATCTAGATGGATGAACCTCTGTAGAGGTTACATACAATGTGTTTTTCCAGAACTCCGTTCAGCTGCTAGTTTCTGACAGGAGTCTTGCTAGAAGTCCCAGGGCCCTCGTGGGAAGACAGACAAAACGAGTTTCTGCACAGTTTCAGAAGTTAACATGTTCTAAATATGAATTATCTGCAGACGTTTTTCTTTGCTTAAAGCAGTGAATTTAAGAAGTGAAACAAACTGTTAAAGTGCGTTACCCATTCATAGTTGTTTTACCTCTTACAACATTAGCGTACAGCTTGGTGATATGTGTTAATGTGAACAAATGCTGTGGTAATCCCTTCTTGATTCAGAACTCAGTTTTTGGATACTTTCTGTTATGTCTATGGCCGTGCTTGGCAGCAGTCTACATAAGTGAGGTAAATCAATTTTCTAGATTATTCAAAACCAAAAAGCTACTAATTGATTGTTGAAATTGAGGAACTAGTAGAATAGCTAGAATTCTTCCTCAGAAGAAGCCTGACTTTCTCAGCTTTGTAGGCTTATGCCAAGTTTTAATTATTAATTATTGAAACCTACTTTTTTTTTTTCTCTGGCATGTGATTGCTTTAAATAAATTGACTGAAGACTAAACATGAGAAGTATTTATCCTTTATACATTAGAAGACAAAAATGCTATACAAAACATAATTTGAACTATTTCATTTTGTCTCTTAAGGGTTGGAAGGCTGGGAAAAAAGACTAATAATTTCTGACAGGGCTCACATTGGTAAGTTGCTGTTTGTAGTTTGGTTTTTTTGTTGTTTTTTTTTTTGTTAATCTTTGTTTTCTCTGAACTTCCCATAACAGTAAAAGTGTGACAATTTTTAGCCATCTCTTTATATAAGTATGTACTTTCTTTGGCTTATGTCTCCATATGCTGCTTTGGTTTATTGAAGATCCTAGAAAAAAATCATTCACCACTCAGGACCCTCCCAGTTTTATATTTTAGTGACTCTTTAATCCTATTCCATAAGCATAACCTAGTCAGGAAAGCAGTTCACTTTCCAAGCCAGAGATTAGAGGTGCCAAGCAGTCAAAAAGCAGTTTAGAAGTTAATTGACTGAAGGATTAATTTCCCCCTTTGATGTAAAAGCAGTGTTGCTTACAGCAACTTTTCTGCTGGGAGACCACGTGATGGGGCTGGGCATGACTTCCAAACTAAGGGGCTCCCTACCAAGTAAATTGCCATGTACTTCAGCAAGGAGACTTTATAGGAAGGACTCTGTAGGGATGGAGAGAATGGCTGCCCTCCTCACAGGGACCTCATCCGTCAAGCATTGATTCCAGCCTACATTCCAGACAACTCTGCAGTTCAGAGCCTGGAGTAGAATAGTGTTTAGCGTCCAAACCACCAACACAGAGCTTCAGAGGCTCTTCCTCTGTCACTCCTAGGACGTCTTTATTACATAAATTAATCCTTTAAATTAGATCTTTAGATATTATAACATAATAGTTTCGTAACTGCATGTATTAAGAAATAGGCTTATTGCTGCTCTGGTAGTCATCTTCTGAAGATGCAAACTTTTTAGGTCTTTGTCAGATAAAAGCTTATAAAACAGGAAAAAAGGTTTTGCTTTTGGTTTTGCTTTTTAGTTTTGTGTGGGGTTTTTTTTGTTTTGTTTTGTTTTTTTCCTTTTTTAAAACCGATCTGGAATAGCTTAGTGAGTGAACATGTGATTTCAGAATAAATATGCTTTTACTTTGGAGTAACTACTGAGTTTGAAATAGTTGAGTAACTGTTCCTAAGTTACTAAAATTCTTTCTGAGAGCAGAATCACTGTAGGTGAATTGCTTGGAAATGACTAGGTTATTACAAAAATTGTCCCACAATGATTATATTGCAGTGGCAATACTGTGAAGTTTTCATAGCTAAACAGGTCCTGAGTAAAAAGGGCCAGTTATTGACTGTCACTGGTGATCATTCAACCTCTTACCATAAATTAACTTTGAGAATGCTTCTGTTTAGCAAGTTTTGATGACAGTCTGGAGATCTAGTGCCGTGATAAATAAGCCTTCTCTAAAATGGGTATTGGCAATCTGTGAATCATTAGTCTGTAACAAAAGATCAACCAAAAATAGGTTCAAGCTGCTGGGGATAATCTAATCCTTTAAATTATGGGTATGTGTGGAAGTAAACATGAAAATAAATTGGTAAGGCAAACAAGGAAAGCCACTGTTGTTCCAGAGAGACTAGAATACTTATTAAATGAGTCTGTTTCTTGCAAGTTTTCAGTCTTTCCTGTGTGATGTGTAGATTAGTTGTTTAACTTTTGGGAGATAGTACTTAAGAAAAATAAGCTGGCTTCTGCTAACCTGCAAACTGTTGCACTGCTGTTTGTATCTGACATGAGTCTTGTCAGGATGGGGTTTTTTTGTTTTACTTCTATGGTAGATAAAGAATTAGTGCAAGGAATACTTTGCATAATCCTTGTCATTAATAGTATGTAATGCTTTAAAAAAATAATCAGGGCTTGTGAAGATGACTTTGGTTTACATAACAGACATTGGTGGGAGCTTTTGGATTTCCAAATGTATTTTAATTGATGTTGCCTAAAACGTAAAAATAAAATGGTCTAAGAAATCTTTAGAATGAATGAGAATGTTTACTTAAGGTTCGCACTCTAAATTTCAGCCGTATGATGTTTTTTTACTATAACCTGTTTTCCAGGATTTTTCAGCTGCATGTTTGCTTTATGTGTTGTCCATACATTCTTTTGGGCCACTACAAACCTGAAATAGCTTAGTTATTCTGTAGGAGGTGTATACACAGTCTGCAAGTATTCTACAAAATAAACACTTTAAAAAAAAAAAAAAAAAGAGTCTCTGAAAAACCTCAGAACTCTTCCCTGTGAAAAAATGTAACTTGTAAAAGAGGAGGAAAAACTCTTGTTATTTTATTTGCCTCTCTTCAGTGTGTATTTTTTTTTTTCTGTTTTCCACATTGATAAACAGGGCTAGAGTTGGTTTGAAGAAATTGTTACTGATACGGTAATTTGTTTCCCACAAATTTTCTACTTAAGTTATTTTTATTTTCTTAGTATTTGATTTCCACCAAGCTGCTGATGGCATCCAAGAACAACAGAGGCAAGAACAAGCGGGAAAGAAGTAGGTGGTTTTATTTTGTCAAACACAGGATGACTTAGTACAAACATATGACTTAATACATTGGATTTCTGTTACTGTTTGTCATCGAGTTTAAAAAGTATTAATTATCCTTGTAACTCTTCAATGTGGAATATGCAGGGATCATTTCTTACACTTTCGTCCTCCAGTGGCTAGCAAAAGATTATATTCTGAATGAAAGGGTTGTATCTTGATATTTTGCCTTAAGAAAAAGGTCCTTGTTCCTAATGTGCTTTTTAAAAAGGGTTCCTGCTTCCTAATGTTTTAATTGTTTACTGGAAGTATTTGTTTCTGTAAAAATATATTTCTGTTTATGAAGATTGAAGGACCCCTTTGTCATCTCCAAGTAACTGAAAGATTGGATATGACTAATTTGGTATCTCATGATGCTTCATTGTCAGAAGTGCATGTAAATGTTCACATTGTCTACTACATGCTGCTACTGACTTTCTGAAGCTTTTGAAACTTTTAGAAACTAGCTGCTATGTTTCTAACTTGTCATTTCCAAGTAGCTCACTAGTTCTTGGGGATGGGGAAAAAGCTGGCAGAATTAACTGTGACGTGTCTACAGCTGTAAGGTAATGCATCACTGTAGGTTTCTGAGATACCAGTAAACTTAATCTCTCTTCTTGGAAGTTTGTCTGTGTGGATGAAAAGTAATTCAGTCTTTCTTACTGAGACCTGTAAAAGGTATCATCCATGACAATAACTTTTAAGACAGTGTCTGATTTGGGCATATCTTGCTTCACACAGGTTGCTATTGAGTGATAACTTGTCTATTATTTTTACACGGGGTCATTTTTGCACTTGACTGTGCTGTACCAAGCTGTCTCGTTGCCTGTTATTTTAGGAATTAAAAAGTGAACAGGAAGAACATACATATGTGTGTGTATATATATATGGAAGAATATGCATATTTTTTTTTATGAGCCAGTATGAGTATATTGGCTAGTCTTGAATGTTTGTGGAGCGCAAGCTAAAATTGCTATATGACTCTTTGCAATTAAAAACACTGTCAGTCACTCAGCTACTTATGAGAAGGAACCACTTTATTAGTTAGTGTTAAAGATTGTAAGGAAAAGTCCAATGAAAAAATAACCACTTTTCTCCAATTAATTTGTTTTAAAGAAACCCAGGGAAAAAAGTTGCATTCAAAGATGAAAACCTTAAGTCACTCTTAAAAGGGCTGTATTTCTTCTTTCTGTGGGGTTCTTGAAATTCTGCAACAATCATACAGTTTTCAAGCTTGTTAAAACTGCTGATGGATTGAAAGTACTAAGCTATTCCCGTCTAAAGTTTAAGGCTATCTAAGTGACTGTAGTGGGGGAAGTACTACTACAGGCTGGCTAAGAACAGGCTATCATAAACTGATTATCAAAAGACTGTCTCCTATTTGTTGGGGTGGGGAATTGAAATAGCCTGCTAGCATGTCTAACTGTAGATTTGACTGCATAGCATATTTGGCATTAAAATTCTTTTGTGTCCAACACTTCAAAGTTGATCATTATAAACAGTAAGTTTATTTTTTAGTTTAACTGAATGCTTTTATCTGTTCAAATGTAGCTTAAAACCAGTCACAAGTAAGGTTCATGTAGCTTCCCTTGCAGAAAGGTTGTAGAAAAGGTAATCTAATCTAGTATATTACGCTTATACAATTGTTTTAACTTCTATAAATACAGTCTTCTGACAGCTTAACTCTTTTATGAATTGGCATCTCTTAATAAAACAAAATAAATGGAAACAGACTCCTCCTTAAAAAATACTCTGTGTGGAGGGTATGAATTGGGGCGGAGGCTAGAGTCAGTTATTTAAGCCACATTGTCCTGGTCTGGTTAAATGATAACTGTGTGTTGCAAAGTTGATTAGAATGTCTTTCTTGGACTGGAGGCAAACGTATCACTCCCTGAGATTACTCACTATTGAGTCTAATTGGAAAAATTTGTTTTTTTCCAAGATTATTGTTTTGAATCTACTCCATACTACTGATGACCTAACTAAAATTAATTATGTATGGATTATGAGCTGTATTTCCATTCACTCACATATCTAAACTTTATGCTAAAGGGTATCAATTGATATGACCTGTACCTTCTACTTGAAATGGAGCCCCTCTTAAACTGAGTTAAGGCAGTTTGAAGAAATCTGGGCCACTCTGCATATGCAAAATTTATAATTGAAGAAGATAAGGCTTTCTGCATCTGCTCGGGGTTGGGGGGGGGAACCCCAACTGAAACAGTTGAAACTAGGTGCAAAACTAAGCTTAGCAATGTACAGCATACTTCTGAAGATGCTGCACACCTGTTCTCTTCTCCTTAAAAAGTTACTTAAATCTTTCGAGAGCGATGGGGAAGATGTCTGATAATCTGCCTATGATGAATGCAGTTTGGCTCCATTTTGATAGCTATTTAGCAAGACTGGCAGAAGATACTTTCTGAACTAGCTGTACTTCCGACAGTAAAGCTGGTGCAAGCAAGTTGTATCTTAGGATCTCACTGACTTAAGCTGAAAAAGACTTTTCAGGCAGACTGGGTAGGTAAGGGTAAGAATTCACGTTTTCAGAATCAGCTACAGTGGAAAATGTACTCAGGAACCCTTTCTAATGTTCAGCATTTTGAGTATCATTCTCACCCTTAGATGCTCGACGGTGTTTTTCTGGCTCCAACTGAGGCATTTAGAATTAAATGAAGTACTTCTTACACACAAACTTGAAATCCATACTGGTTTGTGCTGTTGCTTTATGGAGGACTTTCTTTAGGTCTTCAGGACGGATTTTAGGAAGGTGTTTAGTTTCGGTTCATGGTACTGAAGGATGTTGTCTTGGCATTCAGTTCCTTAGGTATAAAAGTTGGGAATTGTGTACAAATAAATACGCAAGAGTTCACTAAAGTACGAGAAGTTATTGGTTTAAAACCAGAAATATTTAGAAGATTGATATATTTGTGTCTATAAACAGTGATATTCTGAAACTAAGTTGCATACTAGAAGTATCTCATGTTCTAAATGCTTAAAACAAGGTTCTAAATGTTTGCAATTAACAGCATTTCACTTTTATGCCAAGGATGTATTAGCTTTAAAGAAAAAACACTTTGGTTTTATATCGAGAATAACTCCTGTTGTTATCTTTTGAAAGTTTGGGAACTACAAAAAAAGGAATTGGTCCAGTATATTCTTCAAAAGCAGCTCGAAGTGGACTCAGAATGTGTGATCTTGTTTCCGATTTTGATGAATTTTCTGAGAGGTAATTTCTGTATTTTAATGCATAGTTTTCAGTTCCTGGGTAGTACCCTGTGTAAGCAGTTACATCTGGTTGCTGTTACTTGTTTTAATTAAAAATTATTTTAAAATAGGAAAATAATTTTATTTATAATTTTATTAAATTATCTATTTATAATTATTAAAATATTGTTTTAAATTGTTTAATCACCAAATAATTGCAGATATGTAACCAGTAAAACCTAAGGTTGGTGGGGGCGTGAGGAGGAAAATAAACAAAAACCTTAGTGAAGCATTTTTGCCTTCCAGGTTCAAAGTGTTAGCCAATCAGTACAAAGCGATATATCCCACCTTAGAGATAGATATTGAAGGGGAATTGAAAAAGCTCAAGGTAAGCCTGCTTTGGTCTGTTAAATGATGTAATCGCTGTGTGCAGTTACTGATATGTAAATCTCTTGGTGACTGATGCTCGTGCTTGTGTGAGGAGTTAAAATGTAATACATGTCATGGAAAATTGGTATGTGTCAATTTTTAAGAGTCTGCTAGTATCCTTAAAGACACTTTTGACCCTGCTTTATGCAGGATGTCAAAACTTGGTTTTGAGAGAAATATTGTAAACTTAATTTAAGAAAAAGGCTTGTATAGGGAGAATTATTTTTGACTTCCACTTGCTCAAACATACTGGCTAGGAGAAAAAAACCCCAGATTGTAGTTGGGGATGTAAAGCAGAATATTAATTCCTTGGGTCAGAAACTTAAGAACTGAAGTGAATTATTCTAAGTAGTAAGCCTTAAGGGAAAAAAAAATACTAACAACATAGAAAAATATAAGTTGATAGCAGCAGAACTAATGAAGCCTGATTCCCAGCATACTAGTCTTGTTAATTACGAATTCTGATTTGATGTTTTCCCTGCAGTTGCAACAGTTGTGAGATTTCTCACTAGTATTAATTCTCTTATGCCTAATAGTGCGATTTTTGCGGTGCACCCAAGTTCTTACTTGAAAAAATTGTCAGGTGTCTTACCCCGTCTTCTTGTTCATGCATTTTATAGAAACTTAACTGTATGAGATGGAGTTTTTTTTACCCCTTAGAAAACTTGAACCAAATTTGACATTGTTTAAAACCATTGAGGTATGTGTGGAACAGGGGAGGGCATGCACAGTTACATGTTTAATTCTTTCGGAAAACCAGGCCAAAGAAATCATCCTTCTCGTATCTTTAGTTGCCACTAAACTCAGTTTACCAGCTCTAGAAGTATGGAGTATATTGGAGTTCTTAGCACTTCTGTTTGTCTGTCTTTAAATAATATCTGTTACACGTGTTGAGTTGTAGTATTCTAGTCAATATGTAGATCTAAAAATCAGTTACGGCTGAGTGTTTTATAATGCTTTATAGTTTACTTAATACACATTAGGATTACAGAATATCTGAAATTCATTGTTAGGGTGGAAACATAATATGTATTTGTAGCTTGAGGAAAATTACTTGCACTTACTGTTTGTTTTATGTGAATGCACTTGATTAAATTCTGAAAGACAAAGTGTTATATTTCATGTGAAGGGAATCATTAGAATGAGAACTTCCATATGTTCTCATGGGGACAAAGGCTGTGCACCAAGTATTAATCTGAACATTACTGGCTGCTTACATCCAGCTATTTAGTGGCATTCAGGCACTTGACCCTTAATTCCAATGAATAACTTTTTACTTTTACTTACAAGCATACCTGCATATATATCACAAATTGAAGCTGCTTTACAATTGTATGCATTTGTTGGCTTCAGATGGCCAGAAGTGGAACCCCCCACATACTGGTTTTGTTTATGTTTTTGTTTACATTTGTTTATGTTTTTGTTTTTCTTTGTTTGTGTTTCCTTTTCAAAAGGAGTAAGAGCATTGTTATGAGGGAGCAATAGCACTTGCACTCTGGCTGGCTTTAGCATAATGAAATCATACTATACTTTTTTTCTTTTGTATTATTCAGGGCTGCATGGAAAAAATAAAACCAATGGTAAGGGATGGTGTTTATTTCATGTATGAGGCTTTACATGGACCACCAAAGAAGATCTTAGTAGAAGGTGCAAATGCAGCACTGCTGGACATAGATTTTGGTAGGTATAACCTTTTTGAGACACATGTTGCTATATATTTATGTTGTGAAAGAGGAGCACTAAATATAAACTCTTCCCTGTTGAGCTGTTCTTATGCAGATGTGTTTGGTATTTTGGAAGAACAGTACTCTCTATGACTAGCAAACAATTAGAGGGGGGAAAAAAGAGTTTTAAATTAAATTCTTTCAAAAAGCTTTAGACTCTCCCAAGGTTAATTGTTTGAATGACAGTAAAGATCAGGTGACTTTTCTTAAATAGAGTGTGGCTATTACTTCAGTGTCTGTAAATTTCATAAGGAATAACTCACAGTTGTATACATTTATGGAAACAATTGAGAAGAAAAATGGAGAGCTTTGAGAGGCAAAGTATATATGCAAAATGCTTTGAAGAATCAGCTTGCTTTTTTTTTTTTTTAAACCCTTTATGTAACACTTAGTTTTCCACTGTTTCACGATGTAAGGAAAGATGTTGGGAATGTGGATTGCTAACGAGGCAAGAGTGAAAAGATTATCCCAATCAATTTGAAATTATAAGTGGTGCATTTTTTCTTAAAACACTAATTTTGCTAATAAAATCAGAAGCTTCTTGATAGAAGCAGCTTTTTTTTTTTTTAAAATGAGATTATGATGTTTGTTATCGTTATATTGTAAGGACAGATAACTTACTATACATCCATATAGGCATAATATGCGTTTTGTCACATTTTTCTTCAGTCTCACTAGCCTTGTAACAGCATCATTTTTATTGTTGGAAAGATGCTTAAGCCTGAAATTGAAACCTGTAAGGACTACTGTCAAACAAATATAAAATTGGCACACACTCTGCTTTCAACTGATGGGAGTTCTGATATTGGGCATTTTCAAACATACTGAGTTTGAAAGCCTCTTCTTTTAAGAGGAAGATATGTCTAGTCACTGTAAGTGTAAACACCAAGTTTTCCCATGATAATCTGAATATTGGAAGAACTTTCTTTTTTTGACACATCAAAAAAGAAGAGGAAAGAAGTCTTCAAATATGCTTGTCACAGGGAAATGCTTGATGCGAGACTGAGATATTTGCAGAAAACTCTAGGGGGGTTTGTTTTTTGCAAGTAGTGAGGATTTTAGTTTTCATGTAAGTATAGGAAATGCTAAGAGTCTGAAACTCATCAGGTATGTCTACGATACATACAGAGTTGTTTGGGTCACTTAAATTTTTCTCCTGCCTGTGCTGTGAGACCCACACACAGAATATCTGATCTCCTTAGGTAGATACCATCAGTGGAATAGAGACTGGGGTTAAGAATAGACAAGTCCTAGTCAAAAGATTTCACAATGCCAAATCTGATTGTTGAGCATTCTGAATGAGGCTATTTTCTGTGCCTTGGTGCACAGAAGTCTTAATACTGAAGTGAGTTTTATGAATGTGTGTCTGTTGGCAATGAGGATGGTATCCCCAGCCTTGCAGTCCTTCCGCTTTTCTGGAGCGTGTAATGAAGCTTGCATGTGCGTGTGCCTGGGGATGGGGGTGTAGGTGTGGGGGGGTGTGGTCTTCTGTGTTTTTAAACAGTGAGTGAGGCTAAACCAATGTCCATATACCAGGTTGGGAGCTGAAAATGAGTAAGAATTGTCTCATTGACTCTGTTTGTGACATCCACTAGCTATATTTACCTGTTAGTAAAGAAAAGCTCAACTACTGTGTCCTAAGAAAGATGAAGACTGATTAGTGCTTCCAAACTGCTGTTACATATGACCTGTAAGCCTGTGTCTTTCTCTTGAGAGATTTAAGCAAAAGAAGCTAGTGATACCTGAAGCTAATCTGCAAAACCTCACTGAACACTCTCTGAAGGATTTTGACTTTTTACAGTTGTCTGTATTGCTTTCAGTTCCTTTTGTCTTGGCTGTTCCTGTCTTACCCATCTCCGACTCTTATACAAAAGAAAAAAAAAGTCTGAAGCGTGAGGTAGAAGTCTCTCGCTTACATGTAGTTACTGTGTGGCTGAAGCATTTGTTCATAATTCAGATCAGCTAAGGACTGGCATGCTCTGTTTCATCTTCTGTTACTTCAAAAAAAAAAAAAAAAAAAGGTGTAAACCTGAGGATTTTGAGATGTTGAGCTCTCTTATCTTTGCTGTCCAGGCTGCTTTTTAAATGAGGGCTGAATAGGTAACTAGAGACAAACTCTCACCGCTAATGAACTAGACTGTATTCCAGGATTCTTTTTTGTTTCTTTCCTTTTCTTTAATTTTCTTTAATTGTGGAAATAACTTTTTCATTTGATTATGTAAGCAAAATTGTTCTTTCCAGAATTCTGCATTTCTTTGCAATTTCTTATCCTTATAATGTGCTGACAAGTTTGTAGAGGTTGTATTTTTTCTCCCAAAAGGAAAAATGGTAAATGTATTTTCTAACCTTTTAATACCATTTTCTTAAGAGTTTCCCTTCAAATTTTCACATTGTTCTGTTAGTGAGTATATTTTATATAAGACAGCAAGGCATGGTTTTCTGGTGTCTTGCTGCAATTTTTGACTTGTATGATCATTCAGAATTGTTATGTAGTCAACTTTTGCCTCTGTACCAGTTGAAGTGGTAAGTCTTTTACCTTTTTCATTAAAGAAGAATCAGACAATGTACATACGAAGCTAAGAGGTCATTAAATATGTTCTTGACTGAAAAATCCATTTATTGTGTGTTTTGCTTTGGTTTTTAGTGTGGTAAAACCAGGGTAAGTGCAGTGCAAGTACTATGCCTCACCAGGTTAGATTTTTTAAAAAATATTTTAAAAGGAGAGTTTCAATAAGTTTTTAAAACCCTTTTTTTTTTTTTTTTTTTTTTAATAGGCACATACCCTTTTGTGACTTCATCAAACTGCACAGTTGGAGGTGTGTGTACAGGTCTGGGCATGCCACCGCAGAATGTTGGGGAAGTGTATGGAGTTGTGAAAGCATATACAACCAGAGTTGGAATCGGTGCCTTTCCTACAGAACAAAATAATGTGAGTGTTATCAGCACTAGATGTGACCTGTAACTGGGTGAAATAACTTGGTGTGTCTGTCTTATGTTAAATCAGTGTTACTGGTTAAATGCAAGTAGATGACGGTGTGTTTGGATGTCTCCAGTCTTCTGGTTCTAGACTGAGCTTACAGGACTGCCAAATCCGATTGTCAGTTTCTCAGACCTTCCTACGGAATAGAAGGCTAGAGCATAAACAAATTTTGAGAGATTTGCTAAAATAGTGTTCTGTTGAATTAGAAATAGCATTTTGTATTTTTCATACCAATGGACAACTGTGAAAAAATGGGGGAAGAACTTTTAATGTAATTTACAATATTGTAAAATATTGCTAAGTATACACCTGCATCGTGTATTGCAAATAAAAAAAAAAAAAGGAGGCTCATGTAATAGTGTTACTGTTTGACAGGAAATTGGAGAATTGCTGCAAATGAGAGGTAAAGAGTTTGGTGTTACCACTGGTAGAAAGAGAAGATGTGGCTGGCTGGACCTTGTGTTACTTCGATATGCCTACATGATTAATGGATTTACTGCGTGAGTTACTTTGACAGCTTTGCTGGCAACTTGACATAAAACCATAAAATGCTACAGATTCCTGTAAATTGTACATATACTAGTTAGTAACATTCAGACTGTTAGTATTGATTTGTTGTTTTGATATTTTGATAAATTAACTGTCCCTTGTTTTTCCTAGCATTAAATGTTTTCATGTTTAACATTTTCAGACTCATAAATTTTTCTTTCCTTTACCTGTAGCACATTGTTATTTCTCATTTAAAATGATCCAAGAAGCACTTACGTGTCTTAGTACTTGATGCTTCAAGCTACCCCAACCCCTGCCATCCTATCAAACCAAATCAAATGCATTACAAGGGCCTTAAAACCTGATGTAGTTTGTGGGGTTTTGTTTTGTTAGTTTGTTTTCAAAATAAGGTAGACGAGAACCCATCAGTATCTTCAGCAGTATATGTAAATATAGAAAATTTGGATACGACACTGGGATTTTAATTACAATGGAAAAATAGGTGTCTGAAACAAAACTGGTATAAAATTTCTTGTAGATCAAACTGTGTAAATACATGCTTTACTTAAATTTTCCTGTTTTTCTTGTTCTTTGTGTTTTTTATTTAAAATAGGATGCAGCCAGGTATTTACAGAGCCAGTGTTTGTTTTGCTGCCTTCGCTGTAGGACAGGAACATTTGGCAGAGGACAGGAACAGACAGCAACAGGCATCATGCTATGAAACCATCTCAAACGAATGGTCATAAAGTATCTTGGCAGCACCCTGGCCAATTAAAATTCTAACACTTAAAGCTATAGATCAGACACTTTAATTGGAGAAAACCTGTTCTTTGAATTTTGCCATTTTCTTATAGTACTAGATCTAAGGAGGCAACAAAAAAGGCTGTTGAAGTGGGGTTTTCTTTTTTTGTTTGTTTTTTGTTTTTTTAAAGTCACACCAGATAAATAGATTAGTGCCATATGAGCTATTTTTCTAAGGAAAGACAATTGCAACATGCAGGAATCAATTTTTCTTTTGGTATTTTTAGAATGTGATGAGAGTTGTTGAACTTGTTTAACCAGAGTAATGTTTCTTTATAGATTGGCGCTTACCAAATTGGATATCTTGGATGTATTTCCAGAAATCAAAGTTGGTGTTGCATACAAACTAGATGGTGAAATCATACCTCATTTTCCTGGTAAGACTGCTTGTTTAACAGTGTTAGATTTTGGTGAAATGTAACCTGATACTTAAATGCTTTTGACTTTTACTTGTGTTTATGACAGGAATGTGTTACTTCAGCATCAAGCCATTAATGTCTTCCCAAATGCACCAGAGACATCCTGTACCACACCTGTACCTACACCCTAAGACACCTGTACCAAATACTGTCATTTGTCTACTAGAAAGATGCAAAGTCCTGTAAAAAGCTTCTTAAACATAAATGTTGTTACTGCTTTATCCCTTTCCTTTAATAGAGCCTGCATTACCTTCAGGCTAAATTGGAAGCTCATTTCACACTCTAAACCCAGTGTCTTATTCCCACTACTGTATTCATCTCCTCTTCTAGCAGGACAAGTCTTCATTTAAGCTTGCATTGAACTACGTGAGAGAACTGATCTGTTTGAAAAGCCAGGTTTTTCTCTCCCGGTGTTATTTTTCTAACAGTTTGGTTCCCTTTAATGGTTCACAGAGCAGCCAAAAAACTTGTCCCACCTACGCAATGGAAAAGAGGGAAAAGGGGTGGGGCAGGAAATGAGCAATTAGTTTAGGTGAAAGCAAGACTATTTTCTAATGCAGGACCAACATAATCAGCTTAGCATGATAGAAACTATAGCTCCTGAGGAGGACAGTGGTCATTTTAGTGATTATTTTTACCTGAAAAATGTATTTGCATGTTAAAATATTCAAATATCACAAAATATTGCTTTCATGGATAATGCATCTTTTTCAGTTTGCTATAGTAGAGATACTCCAGGAAAAGGAAAAACATTAACCAGTACTAAAGATTGCACATTAGAAAATCAAAAAGCCCACATAGATGCCCATTTCCATTCTAATTGCTACCTCCAGGTTTGAGGTGGGTCACAGGTTACAATTTTTCTTATGGTTTCATCAGCAGAGAACTTGTTGTGGGTGAGGAGATCAACTGTAATAATCAGATACAACTCACAGCAGGATTTATGTAGTACGAAGATGTAATTATTTATAAAGGAATAAGAGATGATCTGCCAGTAGTCCTTGAAAATAACACATACCTGTTAGGGAAATTCATAAGGAATTACCAAAAAAATCTTCTGTTTCTCCATGCGCTTGGAGTTCTCTAATTGATTTGCCCTCTGGTATCTTCAAACAAAAGTGCCAGTTACAGTCTGAATGCATACTGAATGACATAGCATGCACTTTTTATTCAGGAAATTTAGAACTCATCTTGCACTAAACCAGGGAATGCTTTTCTCTTTTTAAGACTCAGATAGTCCCTGATTGATACCCTTATCAAAATATTAAGGAAATTTATGTGTACTTTAGATGGTCTTTGAACATAATGGAGATTGCAGGATTGAATTGAGAACTACTTAGTAAATGCTTCATCTGTAGCCCTGTCATCTAACCTGGGGGCTATTTGGGCTGTCTTGTGCTCAAGCCAGGAGGACCTTCTCTGGCAGTCTGTCATTAAAGATGACATAAAAAGGTGGCCATGGTTTTCAGTACTAAGACTTCAGTGATTACTTTTTTTTCCCCCATTCATTGTGTCTGTCAGGTGGGACCGGAATCTTGTTACAACTCCTGAGGGCAGACTTTCCTCCCTGTATATGCCCAGGTAACAGGTAGCTGACCTTTGGTCATAGCAGCACAATGTGGCTCACCTGCCTAATTGTGTTTTTCCTACTGTATGAACAGGGATTCTGGTAGAAATTTAGTAGAAGCTGTTGTCTTTGCTGTTGACATACTGTCTTCCTTAAGTGTCAGGAAGGAGTTTGAGCTGAACTTCTGGTAAGCTGGAGGATGCTGTCTCTCACAGTGCCTCTGTGTTCCACACCTCTATCTTTGCTATACTCCTCAACATTTGGCAGCATTTTCAGCACATATGCTGCAGGTTACTTATTACCCCTGCCCCGGCATAAAAAACGAAAGGTAACTTTCTTCCCACTTTGTGTTTTGCAGACCATTAGATTATTTCTGATACCTACATCTCTGCGTGTTGTGCAGTTGTATAATTTTTTTTTGTTGTTTTTTTAACTTGCCACTTTGACATTTTGAATTTAATTTAGAAAAGATCTAGTCTGGGAATCTCTTGCTGGCAGGGTACTTTTTCTCTCTCCCCTCCCTACCCTCCCACTCTCTTGGAGATGTTAGTGATTTACCCTTCTTGTGAAATGACTGTCTCTAATTTAGGAGCACACACAGTGCCCACCATCTCAGGAAAAACATGCCATATTTCATATATTGTTCCTTTTTCCAGCTGGATCAGAGAATCATACAAGTCTCAGGTTTTTTAGCTTAGATTTCTGTGGGCATTTCATAATCTCCTGTTAAGAAAGAACCGCAAATGTCTTGTAAATTTACAGCTGACTTCAGTTGGTATCATTGAGGCTGTAGTCTTTTGCTATGGAGCTGGCCAGTATGTCCATTTTTGTTCAGTCATAGGAGTTTATGAAAGAAAGATAGAACTCCCTGCTAGCTCTGAGCTGATCAGTTTAAAAGGAATATGAAAGCCATGGTCTAGTCCTGCTAGTGCCTCCTGTCCAAGTTCAGGCATCAGTTGATCTCAGCACAGACACACCCTCTAGCTTGGTAGGCTTTGAAAACACACATCCTTAGGAAACTGGGAGATTATTCTGGAGAAGCTTTACTTCATGCTTGCTTTTTTTTGTTGTGTTCTTTCCCTGGGCATCTACTCTAGAATAAAGAGCTAGGACACTGTGCTAGATGCACCTTTGGTCTGACATATATGACTGCTTTTATGTTCAGTTTCTGGAAATTGCTGGAGGATCTTTCTCTTACAGTGGTGCCAAGATCCCAATTTTCAGCTACTCTTTTTGAGTTGGAAGTAACATCACATCATTCCCTCTCCAAATTATAGTACCAGACTACCAGATATCACTATATCTGCTCTCTCTGTTATCTAATTCAGCTATTAATAAGGAATATTACAGAAAGCCTAAAAGATAAATCCCTTAAGGGGAGAGCTGAGAGAAATCTAGATGGTGACTACATCTGTTACTACACTGAGCTCAGTTTATGGCTTATCTTTACCACACATCATCTTTTATCACACCTGCTGGAGCAAAATGAAACATCTTGAAACATCGAGATACCTTCTTTTTCTTCCTCTCTTTTGGGGAAGTAAGAAATTGAACTAATACAGAGTATTGGAAGATTGTAGACGAGATTAGACCATTCAATTCTAAGTGCTTTCAGCTTTCTCCCACTAGTGTCATCAGAGAGGCTTCAAAGTAAAAATGCCTGTGGACCTCCAAGATCAGGTGTTCAGTCACTTACTTTCTTCAGAAAGAGGGAGGCTAGCATCTTATTCCAGAGCGTCTGCAATGCCCGGAGATTAGTTTGTGGTTTTGCACTTGCAGTATAGCTGTCCTATTTTACAGATCACCTGGAAGCAGACACCACCTCAGTTGTTACTGCTGGTGACACTAAGGAAAGTGCTTATCCTTGGTCTCTGCAGCCCAACATCCTTAATGTGCCTGTCTGTCCTGATTACAAGTATTGATTCAGTATCATTTGCCTTAACCTGTGAACACCTCAGGCCACAAATTGTGCACTTCTTCACTGTTGTAGGTTTTGAAGTCAGTAGAGCATAGTCCTCTTTTCACCCTTACTCAAAATGTCTAGTTCATAAAGGCTGTCCTTACAACATTGCTACTATTGAACTCATACCTGCACCAGGACAAATTATTCAATATGCTGAGCCTGAGTTTGTTGGCTACACCCACGCTGGAGGGGATTAGCTATAGTTTTGTATTCACATGTCTACCCTGCCTCTTGCACCTAAAACCGTTTCCCAGATTGACTAGCTGTCTTTGCAGGAGTGACTTGATCTGAGACACGGAGCCTACATAACATTAATTACAGTACCTATGGCAGAACCCTGTCTTTTTCAGGAAGGCAAGAATGCCTGACACCTCCTTTTTTTTTTTTTATCAATGTATTTTGACCATTTTCAGGCTTAAAGGCTTTTGTTTCGCTGCCCAGTGTCATTCCAAGACTAATGTTCATGTAGTTACTGGAATGATTCAATTCCAGAATGACGTGCTTAGTATCTTTTCCAGTACTTGAAGTCATCACAGGATTCAGAGTTAATGGACAACATTGTAGCAAGTTACTAAATGAAGGACAAAATGGAATATACTCATTGCTTCTGTTCTGAGAAGTAATTGGAACAGTTACTGTTCATACATTATGTGGGGCTCCACACTCGTTGACAAATTCGTTGCAGAGTTTTGGGGCAACGGGTCTGTGGTCATCAGAAGTCTATTCTCTATAAACTATATCTCTGACTATGTTTAATAAAAATGTACACTCCTACATCATTTAAAAATACATTTTAACTGCCTGATACTTAAAAGCTGGTGCCTAATTTTGCTTTCACATCACCAAATTCCCTCATGAAGGGGGAGTTGGATCTTGGTATTTATTCAGAGAAAAAAAAAAAAATCAACATTTTTGGGAATTACTTTTCCTGAAAAGTTGTTCTGAACTGAAAAGATTGTGCTTTAAGCAAAATATATGCATGTGACCGAGTACTGGAATTCCTAAAGTCTAAGTCCTGATAGTTATGGGATTATTTTTTTTTTCTCTGCTTATATTAACAAAAAAGGACCCTTCAGCACCTTCAGTGCTGTTATTATCTTATGAGTAAACCTCTTTGTATAAGAAAAGAATAAAAAGCTTTGCAGTTATGTGTTTAGTGGTAGAGAACATATAATCTTTGTTGACATAATACTTTTGTTCCTGTTTGCTTCTCAGCCAATCAGGAAGTCTTAAATAAAGTAGAGGTTCAGTATGAGACACTCCCAGGATGGGATACGGACATATCAAATGCAAGGACATTTGATGAGCTGCCTGTAAATGCACAAAATTATGTTCGCTTTATAGAAATGGAGTTGGGTGTTCCTGGTAAGTAAAACAGATTTTTTTGTTGTTTTGGTTTTTTTTCTGCTCCATGAAACCTATCTTGTACTTTGCCTTAGTGAACGTTCAAAATATTGAAAACTAGTTTGTAGCTGTGCTTATTCTGATGTACCTGGTGATACTTGTAATTATTGTTTTACTTCTTTTTTTCTATCTATTTAGCTGTTGAATTGAAAATTTTCAAGTTTTAATAGGCATTCTTTCTTTGCCTTATAGTTCTTGTTCAACTGAGATTTTTATAACTTAAGTGTTTTTCAGATTGGTTATAATAGGGGTTTAATTCTGCTGCCATTATAAAGTCAGTGGGGCTACTGGTATATTAATGTGATTAAATATATGTGACAATAAGAAGTCCTAAACTAACAAATTTCTCTTATGCTCCCTAATAAAGATGATCCTGTGGTTCCATCCAAAGCTGGGAACTAGGAGATGATGCAAATCTTTACTTTTCTGGTAGTTTCTATGTACCTTTTTTCCTATGATCTGGAAAACTGATTTATTTATTATGGCAGCTTCAAGACTGTTCCTGCTTTTCGAAATTACCAATGCATTCTTACATTGAGAACAATAGACATAGTTATCATTTCTTAACGTACTAATAGTATATTGTGTGGTTTTCTTCAGACTATGGTACGTAAGATCTTAAGTGCTTAAGAAGATAAGTTTGTATCTTAAGATACAATCCAATCTTGCTTTATATTACTTGTAATAAAAGTTTGCTTTTCTCTCCTGCAGTTAAATGGATTGGAGTAGGGAAATCCAGGGAATCAATGATCCAGCTGTTTTAAAGATTTCAGATGCATGGAAGAAAGCACACTCCTCAAAAGACTGCTCATTCTTAAATGCATTAGTAGCCCGCAAAGCAAAGATGTTGGAAAGATAGATTTTTGCATGGAAAGAAATGCTAGAGTTGATACCCCCAAATCAATCGCTACTCCTGAAAGAGACTTTAACATGAACCTGTATCAGTTCTTGTTCAACTGCAGTTTCAAGGACACTTGTCATTGTTGTTCAAAGTGCCATCAGATTTTTTTTTTCTTTACCTAATATTTACTTCATAATGTAATTCCTGTTGAAAATCTAAGGTAGCATTACTTTCATGACTGTTTGTTATCCTCTCTCTGCTTTTGGCGGTGTTACTTCCCTGAAATTTTAGACAGTAAAAATAATGCAGTTTTGCACAGATAGTTTTACATCCTCATTATTTGTATTCCTAAAGCTGTTGTATTCTTAATGGCTGCTCTTGTGAGTGATTAAAGAGGGGGATTCTGATTTTATAATGCTATAAATGCTGTCTAAATTATTGTGATCTGTTTTTTAAAAAAAGACGTGATGCCAAGCTGTTAAGAATGTCCAGGTTTTTTTAGCTGCATAACACAGAAAACTTACTCTTTGTAACTCACAGAGGACACTCAAGTGTTTACCAGGAAGTGTGCCCAGAAAGTTAGAAAATTGATATTGTAAAAAGTTCATTTGCGATTATTAAAGAACCGTTCTGATTTTGAGTTAGATGTTTTATAATGTTACTCTCCCCCCACCCCCCCAC